GCTCAGAGATGGACTTACCTCTCAAGATCAGTAATTCTCAAGAGAAAGAAGAATAACACCCAGTGAGGGTTGTCTGTATAACTAGCATGTTAGAGAGTGATTTGCTCTGACTTCCCAGGACACCATACTGAATTAAGGGAGAAGACTTCAGAGTGCCAATTCCTCCACCGTTGCTCCCCAAACCACACCACCACTGCTCCAGATAATCCCACTGACAAGAAATTTTCATGTAAAATGAACTGTCAGTAAACAAACTAATGCCTCTTTCATCTGACCTCAGGAAGTGTCCATATAATGAGTTTTCCAAATAACCAGTGGTTGCTCATTAAGTGTATTTTAACCCATGAAGAGTGAAAAAGCAAAAAGGGGGAAAGGTCAATGTCCTGGTTTCATGCCTTTCTAATATGTATTTTCATGCTGTTGCCTTCTTAAACTAAAAGTGATTTATTTTAACCCTTCCTTACGACTGAGGATGATCCTTGTGACCATTAATTATTGGTCTGGGATGTGAAACAAGAGTGTGCTTATGCCCCCGTCTGTCTGTCATCCGGCCATCTGTCTACATGAACTCAGTACCACCTCCGATGGCCTATCTACTCCATTTAATGGGAGCCAAGAAACTGTAGGCACATATTAAAACTCACTCGAGTTTATTATTTTATGATCATTAATTCAAATTCCCTCATCTGAAATATAAGACTCAGAGTTAAGGCTTGCCCAAAGTCACACAATGGATTGTAGAACAGTTTCATCCCACTTAGGATTTGCAGTTCTTAAAGAAAAATATTTAGTTAGAATCATTGTTAGAAATTTCTTAAATTAATCTCTAAGCAGAGTATATATGTTTTCTGTAGTGTAATTCTTATATCCCTTGACATTTGGGTATCACAGAGATAGATTAAGGAAAAAAGAAAAAGTCTGCAGGCAGATTGTTGCCTATTCAAACCATTTGCCTTTAAGATAACCATCAAATCCAGTGAATGAGAAATGGAGAGAGATTTAAGTGTTCTTGTTTCTCAGTGGAAGTTTTCCGTTTGGTTTCAGTATTAAGCCATTGTAACCTTACTATATTTCAATTGATTGTCTCCTGCACTGAAGATTAGAGGATCAGGTTCTATTACCTCAGATGTTAAATACAACTATAATGCAACTCTCCTCAGGGGGTAGAGGGTTTACAGGTATAATACAGGGTTCCTGGTCATTTCTTCAGGACTTTCTCTGCTGTGACCCTAGTTTAGACAGCAAGCTCTGGATAGGGCTTAAAAAAGAGGGAAAAAGGGTTGCTAACAATCTTTTCAGTAGCCATCCAGATCCAGTTTGCTTACTTCCTGTTCCTCCTTTGTTCCCTAAATGATTAAGCTCCCAGCATAAGGGAAGTACCGGGAAGTGAGGTCTTTAGAGTTGCATTCAGTCATTTTGATTAGCATCACTGGTAACTTTTTTTTCCCCCACATAAACATATGGTAAAACAACATGTAATGTTCCAATGATTGTAATTTCAAATCCAAAGTACTATCTGTTCATTCCTGAAACCTAAAATAAACATCTGGTGGTTAATGCTTTGAGAAAAAAGTAACTTAGTGTATTACCTCTGTCTATGATTTGGGATCATAGGCAAAAATAAGTAGCTGAGATTAAGCCACAAATGTATGTTGGTCCATTCAGTTAAAAAAAAAAAGGAAAAGAACTAAGCTGTGTTTCCTCTAAAATAGGAAAGGGGATAGAGACCCTGTGGTAATCTTAAGGACCTCTCCCTTTCAGCCTTATCTTACACTGAGAGGTCAACTATATTCAGTCTGTATCCACCCACTAGAAAAAAAGATTTGAAAGCTTCTTTATCTCCATCCCATATATGCTCAGAATTATTGAAGTCCGTGCATACCGTCAGGTTCATGTTACCATGCATTTTTATTAGTTAGAATTATATCTCCTACCTTAAAACTTCTGTGATGATTTTTCATCTGTAAGATTTAGTCTAGCTCACACTTCCCATTTCAAGATGGCACTTGGCATAGAATTTGAAATAAAGATGTACTGTCCATTTTGCAATGTTGCTCATCCTAGGTAAAAAAAAAAAATTGGTTTTTTCTAAGGGTGGTGTATTAGTCTGCTAGGGCTACTGTAACAAAATACCAGAGGCTGAGTGGCTCAAACAATAAAAATTTATTTTTCACAGTTTTGGAGGCTGGACATCCAAAATCTAAATGTGGGCAGGTTTGGCTTTTCCTGAGGTTTCTCTCCTTGGCTTGCAGATGGCCATCTTCTTGCTGTTCCTCACAGGGCCTTTTCCCTGTGCCTACACACCTCTGGTGTCTCTTCAACTTCTTAGAAGGACAGTAGCCATATTGGAGCAGGGCCCACCCTTATGACCTCATTTAACTTTGATTACCTCTTAAAAGGCCCTACCACCAAATACAGTCACATTGGGGCTTAGGGCTTCAAAATACGAATTTTGAGGAAACACAATTCAGTCCATAACAGATAGCAATGCTATTAATCAAATATTCGGTAATATCTTCTCCTCGAGGAAAAATAAAATCTTACAAAGGAAAAGGGAAAAGTTATTATTTACATGTGATACCAACTTATATGAAATATAAATTTATATGTGAATCATTTATATGAGATATCATTTATAAATGAATGCACCTAAAATAACCCTTAACTACATTTTTTAGCCTGTCCTAATAGAACTCACAAAGATTTAGCAAAGGAACAGTTCCAGCAGATTAGCAATTCACACTTCTACGCATTGTTTGCTGGAGAGACAAAGATATGAGAGTCAGAAATGTCAAATAAATTGCTGCTCCTGCATCTGTTCTGAAGTCAGCTCTACAAATTGGGTCTTTATTCTCTGGAATTGTGGCTTCCATATTGGAACAAACCTGATCCTAACTTAAGTGGCTTCAAAATGCAGAGCCCCAGGACCAAGGTGCTTTAGCCACAAATAGACCATAAAACAAAGGCTGCTATAGGACTGGTGCAAGTCAGAGCGTCCTTGTCCCCTCATGAAGTATAGACCACACTAGTTTGTTTGTTTGTTTGTTTTAGAACACTAATGTTGTGTTGGATCATCTTCAATATCTCCATTTCTGAATTATTTTTTTCATGTTCTATAATAGCGTTGCTTGGTTTAATAAATAAAAATATAGGATGCCCAGTTAAATTTGAATTGCAGAGAAACAACGAATTTTTTTTTTTTTTTAGTGTAAATGTCTCAAGCAATATTTGGGACATACTTACACACAAAAATATATTCCTTTATGGGACATACTTAGACTAAAAAAAAGTATTTGTTATTTACCTGAAATTCTAATCTGTGTGTCCTGTATTTTATCTGGCAATTCTACTCTAGGTTTAGAAATGAATCCTTCTCTTGCAACTCCCTTCCCCCACCCATCACCCTCTTAAACTACTATCATCAACTTTGTAAATTTAATTTCCTGGCCTTAATTTTGTACTGCCACGAAGCGTGAACACCCCAGACTTCAGGCTTCTGGCTTCCTTCCATTATACTATGATGATATATGATTATAAGATGCTCAGTGTTAAAACATTCGTTTGGCCCAGCTTTTCCCCCACGATGAAGTATTTACAAATTTATATCAATACCCCATAATACTACTATGATAACATAGTAGGAGGAATCTCTAAACCCTAGATTCAGCCAGTCACCTGTAAAGTCAGGGAATTGAATTCAAGGTATTATCCCCAAGGTTTCTCGCTACAAGTCTTTAAAATGAGGATTCCATTAAAGCTCTCATTTGCCTGGTGAAACCCAATTATTCCCATTTCGGATGAATCGCTTTTCTCTTCAAGTAAATGCTTAGATTACTAAAAAAAAAAGTAGTGTTTAGATTACTCGATTCATGGCTTCACATTTCAAAGGTGTTAGACCTCACTTCCTCAAGGTCCAGAGAATGCACCCTCTATCGCCTCCCACCCCAGCTCACCGTCACACCGGACTCTGAGCGCCGTGGGCGATCAGATGATGTGATCATGGAAATGCTGATATTGATGAAACAATTCCATCGCGGAGCGTTTGGACAGTTAAAAGAGCTGTGTTGTCAGCAGAAGCCATCTCCGCGGTGCGGGAAACCGCGGTCCGGGAGCAGCCTGTTGTTCTCTTCCGCCATCTAGTGGCGACAGGGGTGCTCTCCTCCGCTCGACTTGCTGTTCAGAGCGGCAAAGATTTCAAAGATTGTAAATCAAATGGATGAATTGTTTTATTCTTGTCATTGCAGTAAAAAGGGATTTATAGAGTGTTTCGAGAGATAAAATGTAATAAATGTTGATAAAAATTAAGTATAACACAATAGCGGGCTTTAATACCTGAACAATATAGATTAAATTCATGCAATTTCATCTCTTTAATATGTTCAAATGTGAACTTGAACACTGAAGAACAAGAATATAAACTAGCCTAAAGTGTTCTAAAGAAGAATCATCCTTCTCAAGTGCTCTTGTATAATGTTAAAGGATTTTTTAATTTAAAATAAACGTAATCATAGATAAAAAGGAAAGAGGGAAAGTTCTGATAAACATTGAATTGCAGAGAACGTCTCAGTTCTGTATTTAACCATCTATCTTCAATTAAGTTAGAACTTATTCTCATTATTATTTATACATGTAATACAATGTTTAATGAATGTTGAATGATATTTAGCTTTAATGTTCTATAATCCAGAACTTTCTTCAAATGGCATGATAGCGAGTTTAACTGTGTGAATCTAAAGTGAAAATAAATTTCTCCAATGAATGAAATAAAGTATTTCTGAAGTGTGACTTATTTCCCATTAAAGTTGTTTGCACTGAATAATTATTATAGGAAAAAATATTTCTGACATTTAACATGATTCTAGTTCTCTTATTTTTATTTAAAATGCCAATGCTATCATGCAGTATTTAGATCTTTCTAACAAAAGTTATTTAATTGGACTGCCACTTCATTTTTTAATACACTTGTGAGCCAGCTGAGAAATCTCCAATTTGTTTTCCAGGGTGGGAAAATTCCCATAAGGTGGACAGCCCCCGAAGCTATTGCCTACAGAAAATTCTCCTCAGCAAGTGATGCATGGAGCTATGGCATTGTCATGTGGGAGGTCATGTCCTATGGAGAGAGACCTTATTGGGAAATGTCTAACCAAGATGTAAGTGCCATCAATAGTTAAACTGCCATTTTGTGAGTATAAACACGTTAACACTGAGGAGTAAATATGTCTTTTGCCCTCACTCATATTAGCCCTTCTCTTCCTGAGAACTGTTCAGGGTCTGTGGCTGAGTTTGAGAAGCTAAGTAACCTTCCACTCTGAGCTGTACTTGGTGTCATAGGGGCCAGTGGATGGGCTTTGTCATGTGAGTACCTGACCCACATCTTATGGAGTCCGAGACTCCAACACACATTGCTCTGGTGCAGCGTCACCGTGCTAAAGCAACAGTCTTGACCTACAAGTAACAAAAAACGAAGAAGAATATTTACCTTCCTTTTCTTCCTGAGGGCAGTGCAATACGCCACTGCAAAGAGCAAATTAAACTAGATGTTACTTAGAAGAAAAAGAGCAAGTGCTTTCAGGCAATGTGTTATCAATATGACATTTGATAATGGTTCTTTTGAGATATGTGACCCTTTATGCAATTTCTTTTGTTTCCGTTTTACCTGTAAAAATTACCCTGGTGATCAATGATATTATACAACAGGGAAGATAACACACATTTGATCTCTACGACCGCCAAAGAGATAAAAACAGTTGTCAGGAAATATAAGTACCCTGACAATGCAAATAAGTCTACTGTCAGAACTGAAAATATATTTTAATTTCATACTTTTTCATCCCAGAATTTGGACTTTGTCTGCTCACTTGCCTTCCTCAATGTTAATGGGAACTCACGTCTAATGTGCTTCTGGATGTTCACGGGTTTAAAAAAAAAAAAAAAAAGAAAATTTAACTATAGAAAATCCCTATACACACTCAGAGTAAAACTATTTTCACATCTCTTTTTGTTGTGTTTTTTTTCCAGTCATTTGCTTGGGCATCATCTCTATACCTCACACCTCATTCATTACTCCATCCCAACCTCAAGTTGCCCAAGTATCTAAAGGACTTACCAAGTAACAAACAAAGTTTTAACACCAGGAATAGAGAAGACTGGATTTGGGTTAGCTCACCATGGTTACTGGTTCTCCCTGCCAGACAGCATGACTTTTGAAGCTGAGTCCTGCTCAGTCCTATGGGGGTCTGTTGACTGTGGAGAAGGCCAGGTCTAGACACGTACATGACAGCAGGTTTGAGGTCATACACACTGTTCAATCATTGCTCTCCAAAGCACATCCTCAAAACACAGAGCCCACGTGGCTAGGTCCTGCAGAGCATCTGCCCTTACGTATAGAGTGTCCCCTAACCCACAACCTCTGCTCCACTCCCAAAACTTAGAGTTTTGGATCCAGGTCATTTGCCAAGAGTCTGTTCCTCAGGGAATTCTATTTGAAAGACCTCATTGCTCTTTTCTGCCACAGGGCCTTGTTTGGGGCATCTTGTGACCGTCTCTCCAGCTAAATTGAATCTCAGCAGTAGAAATTTGCCCTGTTAATCCTTAAAGGAGCTATTTTTTTTTTAAACCCGTTATCCAAGGTAATGGAAGCCCTGCATTCAGTCACCACAGTTCCTGCTCTACTCTAAACCCAAAATAATGCTTGCCTACTTATCCTACTTCTATGACTGAACTAGGCCACCCAGACAAATCTCCAGAATAAAAAATCCTTTTCCCAGGGAGTTACAGTCTCCACCACACAGAAGAGCCCTCACTTCAAGTGCCCTTTTTCATTAGTACCCCATCTAGCCCTTAACCAGTTCCCCCAGCAGACTTCAAATAAAAAATGCCCAATTCATAGGCTCCAAACATTACAAATAATATACCCTTACCGATAAAAAGTTGTTGAGCATTCACAGCGGACATATCTATATTTGTTTGCACGTTATATACCAGTACTACCGTACTAATAGATTCATTTAAAAATATTTATTGGGTACCTTCTCTGTTCTAGGAACCAGAAGTAGAACAGAGAACAAATATTATACCTGGAAGGGACCAAAAGATTATCTAGTCCAGCCCAAGTCCAACTTGCTTATGAAACTGAGGCATACAAAGATGACATGTTTTCCCTAGATCATAGAGTAAGTAATTTGATGGTGATCTTAGAGGACATGCTAATAAACTTCTAGAACAAGACATGGGAAAGGAAAAGAGAAGAGGAAATAACTGTTTCTTTCTTGGTGGTCTGATATAGAGTCCATGTAACTCCTCGTGTAGCTAGTGATGTCTTGCCCTCATGGAGCTCACATTCCAGGAGAGGGGAGACAGACTGTAAACAAAGTAAGTAAGTAGAAGAGGTAGTATTGTAACCTGATAATCACTGTTTTGGGGGAAAAGAACATAAAAAAGGGATAAAAAAATGCTAGGGGGTTCATTTTGAATACACCATATATATTGCCAAATACATTCATCAAAGTCATTTCTGTATGGTCATAAAAGTCATAATTAATTATTCTTCTTAAACATTTAAGAAATTATCTTATAGTAGGTTGAGATAAATAAATGTAAAGAGAAGTTCCATTATTTTTCCTGCCCCCTGGGTTATCATCTTAGCAGCCAGGGTACGCTAGACTGCCAATTTAGTAACCATGGCCATCATTATGTAGACTATAATCCACTTAATTTTCAAAGTGCCTCAGCTTCATGACCAATAAATATAATAAAAGGACTGGGATATATGATTTTTAATATCTCTTTTAACAATAATAAGCCATGATTTTTATCATCTCTGGAGAAATTATCACACTTGTGTTGGCAAAGGAATGATTCAGATGGTTCTTTTCTGAAGTTTAGGACATTCCTGAATCTCTGTGGAGGTGCCAAGAAGGAGCTAGGACTTCCACAGAACACAGCAGATACACGTTTAAGATACCATAGCACAAGACAGATTTTTTAGGAGAGCAGCCTCTGAGGGGAAAATGTCCAAATGTGTAATTTCCAACATAGACTACCATGTAAATCATTCTTAATTGTTGCCTAGAGAGTTCCCAACTCTGTTGTCGACCCCTCCCTTCTTGGATCTTGCCCAACAACTTACTCAGCCATTCTGGCCATGGATATTGATGATCAGTGGCCAGGATGACCATTTAGAGAATGATTCTGTCTATTAAACCTCATTTGGCCACAGAGACTATATCTGGAACCAGAAAAGCTGCTGCAGCCAGTAATAGATTCCCAGCATTAAGGCAATTCTTGTTTGTTCAGGATTGCCAATGCCCATGGTACAGGGCTGAACCTGATCGCTCCCTCCACCCAGAGCTTGATTGTTTTTTGAGGACCAGGTAGGAACTAAGCTGGAAATCATCATCTCTGAGTGGTTACCAAACAGTATTCAAGCAAGAATCTAAAAATAGGAGAACAGAAAGTTCTGGGTGAGGGAGGGATTCAAACCTTCGAGGTCCTCAGATTGACACAAGACCAGAGGAAAGTGGTAAGAGCTAAAATCTTTTATGTATCTTGTGACTATTTTTTGCTGCTGATGTAAAGAGTTGAAATTCTGTTTAGTTTAACATATTGGAAGTCAGCATATCTGTGACAGATCCTGTAACCAGACTTTCTGTTTGGAAGCAGAAATAGCTTAATCAAAACTTTCCCAGCTGCTCCTCTCCAAATACTGGTTATTCCTTATTTGTTCCGCATTTCTCATTTGTTTGGTTAAAGTATAGTCTTTTGTTTGCCAAGGTGCATTTTAAATAAAGAAAGTACCATTTTGGACAATAAAAGTCCAACTATGTTCTGTTTGAATATTTTATATTTTTACTATATTTTGGTGAGTTTAACTAAGCTATGGGCTTAGTTAAATACAGAATGTTAACACGTTTTATGATTTTAAATGAGTTTAGGAAATTTCAGATCTTTTTTATGAAATAGTTCCTCTATTCTGTAGACCATGGCATATTTTATTACAGTGAATAATTCTCAGTTTGTAGAATCTGTTTTAGTGAATAATATAATGAGTTTCCCAAAGGTCAGCAGTATTGTACATTAGGGAAAGGAAATGAGAAAAGAGTATATAAGATTAGTCCAGAAAAGCCCTAACAAACATAACAGCAGGTGCCATCTGCTTAGCTATTCAGCAGTTACTTATTAAACATGTGCCAGTCACAGGGCCGGGTGTGCCTGTGGGGCGGGGATGGAGAACTAGAAAACCCAGTCCCTGCTCTCAAGGAGGCCACTATGTAGATGAAAAGGTGAAGTTCTGATATTCCTAAATCCTAGCCTTGCCTCTCAAGGAGAATGTGCATTCCTCAAGGGTAGTCCTCATGCCTTCTTCTTTTTCTTTTTAATAGAAACAACACTGTGAATGGAACATAGTTTTTTTTCTTAATATATGTCAGAAAAAGCATGCATACTCTATTATTCAGCATTCTTTTGATTATAAATGACAAAAACTCAACCCAAACTAACTTGAATAATTTTTTTTTTTTAAATTTCATTCATGAGACTAAGAAGGTTAGTGGTGCTGAATGCCAGGGATCATGCAGGGTTTTTAGTGCTTCCCTAGATCCGTTGACCTCATTTTCTCCTACTGCAAAAGTCCTCTTTGTTGTATTCTTTACACTCTAGGGCACAGCATTCCAGCTCAGCAACCTCAGCGGAATAAAACCTTTGCCCTCTGTGAAAATTCACAGACAAATCCCAGAGAAGACTCTAGCTGGCTCTGTCAGGGTCCTGCCCAACCCTGAACCAAAACCAGGCCAGGGAAATAGACACTGTGGTTGGACCAGCTAGCTTAATCTATCAGCCTTTGCCTTCAGAGGCAGGTGGAGCACTGTGATTGGCAGTTTCCCATAAACACATGCAGTGAGGGGGGAAGTCCCCAAAAGAAAGCCGTTGTGTCGCCAGAGATATACTATTTTGTCCTTTTTTGGTATAAATTGTTTTTCAAGAGCAACTTTATTTATTGCAGTATCAAAACATTAACATCGTGCATCACTGTATTCTAGTGAGGCAGCTGGTAAATTGGCAAGATCATGAGAGCTTTGGAGCAAGGTTTCTCAAGCTCAGAACTATTGACGTGCTGACATATTGGGCTGAGTAATTCTTTGTTGCGGGGGTG